GGACAGATTTTTTTCTTTAGGACTTATAAGATATCTTAGCAACTTTCAAATATGCATTATAGTATTAACTATTGTGACCATGCTGTACATTATATCCTATTACTTAACTTATTTTTAACTAGAAGTCTGAACCTTTTAATCCCCTTCACCCATTTCACTCACTGCCTGTGCCTCACCTCTGTCAACCACCAGTCTGTTTTCTGTATCTATGAGCTCAGTTTTTTGGTTTTTATTTTTTAAGATACCATATGTAAGTGAGATCATACTGTGTTTATCTTTCTTTGACTAATTTCACTTAGCATAATGTTGTCACAGATAGTAAGATTTCACTCCTTTTTATGACTGAATAATATTCCATTGTATATCTATATACCATATTTTCTTCATTCATTTGTTGATGGACACGTAGGTGGTTTTTGTATCTTGACTACTGTATTAAAATGCTGCATTTAATATCAGGGAACATACATCTTTTTGTGCTAGTATTTTTGTTTTCTTCAGATAAATACCCAGAAGTAGAATTACTTGATCTAAAAAAATTTTTTTAAGATTTATAAAATACAGTTTAAAAGTGAATTTATTGACTTTAAGAGTAATTTTTTAAGATACTCTTTAAGGGCAGATACATTTTGTCATTTGATTTATGGCTTTTGCTTATTATGTTAATAAAATTAAGGGATTTTTTTTTAAACAAAACTTAAAAATGGAGATACTAAAATACCATTAATTAACTGTATTTTGGGGATTATTAACAACTATATCCTAGTTTGTGTCTGGCAATGTCTTTTTAAAAAAAATTCAAACTTTCGTATTAGGTGTGTTAAACCTATGTGATTAAAGTCGAAAATCAGGTTATGTGAGTCTGTAAAAGTACAGCCCCTTTTTAAAATTGAGAAGTCTTGTTATTCCGTTTATTAAGCTTTTGCTGTTTTCTAGAAGTTGCAATTACTTTTAGTTGACTCTTAATTACTAGTCAGGTTACTAAAGTGCTATTTGCCAAGTAGTACTTCAGTAGTTTTTCTGTAGAGCTATATTTTTTGTAACAAAATTCAGTGATTTTGTTTGTCACTCAGGAAAGAGATAAGATTAATAATTAATGTAGTCTTAATACAAACAGGGCTGGGAAAAATCAAGTGGTCAGATAGTACACCATTTTCAACGTCTGGTACTATAGTGTAGTCTCTGTGCTATGTATGCTGTTTTGGAGTAGGAGCAGTTTTATATTTCATACTGTTGGCTTGAAGGTGTTAAGTGTGGGGTTTGTTTTTGTTTTTTAACTAGGTGGGCTTATGCTATACACGGTATTCTTGAAGTAAATGTCTGCCCCCGGTTACGGATGTGGTCATGGAAGCATATTAGAGAACACAGGCAAAAAATGAAGCAGTATAAAGAACTGTATAAAAAAAAGATAACAACTAAGAAGCCAACTGGTGAAATTCTCATGTCTTTGGAGGTAAGCATATTTAGAAGTTGTTGAATATTTTGTACTACATAATTCCTCATTTGTTTTAATTTTGACTGCCATTGCTTTTACTTAGACTTTTTCATACTCCTGTTCTTCACTTCAGTTGGGTGATATAACCTCTGGTGATACTCTCCTGTGAGCTGTTGGAATTTCAGATTATTGTCAATCTGGAGAGTTTTGGGTTCATGCAAATAGTAACTTGAAACCTCACATTATGACTTTTTTAACCTCAAAGCCCAAAAAGTGTTTGCTACATTGATTCCAGTCTTTTCTGTGTTGGCTTCAAAGCCTTATACTACCTGTCACCACTCCATTTCCCCGTTACCATCTAATGGCATTAATTTCCTGTCTTTTTTTTTTTTTTTTTTTTGAGACAGAGAGAACGAGAGAGAGAGAGCACATGAGAGGGGGGAGGGTCAGAGGGAGAAGCAGGTTCCTTGCTGAGCAGGGAGCCCGATGCGGGACTCGATCCCGGGACTCCAGGATCATGACCCGAGCCGAAGGCAGTCGCTTAACCGACTGAGCCACCCAGGCGCCCCAATTTCCTGTCTTTTATACATACTATGCTTATACTTGTAGCCAAGTCCATCTGCCTTTCCTCATCTCTGTTTATTCCAGTTTTACTCATTCCTCAAGCTCTGTGTAAGTCCCATCTCTTGTACAAACTTTCCTGAATTTTCTGCCCATTCAGAGTCCCTTTTCTCTTCATTCTTGTGGCATTTCTAGTCTTTACCAGCAACTTTACATTTCATTATCTGTCTTGAGAATTCCCTAAATACTAGTCTTATCTGTTAGCGTTATGGTATATTCTAGAAGGGATTGTTCTATGGATGGATGATGTTTAGTTTAGGGAGACTGAGGAGAGATAGCCTCTTGAAATTAACCATTCTGAATCTAGGCCAATTTCCAATTAGGAGCTCCCTAAAGATTGAGTTTTATTTTTATGTTTGAAGTAGGAGACTTTCTGCAGAAAGATCTACTTGGAATATATTAAAGATGACACACCAACTGTGCGTATAATATGAAGGATTTAGAATTATATTTTTAGTTGAAAGTGACACTAATGTATTTACCCTCAGTTGTAGTTAGAACCCAAATAAAGGTCATTTTAAACAATGCCTATATGGTATCTTTTAGTACGGGTCTGTAAATCTTAATATGACACCTATATGCATGACATGTATGATTTCTTTAAGAAAGTTACTCTATCATTGCTAATTTCCAAGCTGACCTATATACAAGCACTGCTTCTCAGAATTTAAAAGAGGTATTATGTTGGTGGCTGATCCGTTTTTTGCTTCCTATCTTTATTGCAGCAGTTTGTTAGATTATATAGGAAATTTTATTTTTATAATCTTTCTATAGACTATGTAAAGTTACTCATTTAAACACACTTTTGTTTATATTTTAAGGAGTTGGAAAAGACCTTGGATGTATTTAATATAACTATATCAAGACAACAGGCAGAAGTTGAGGTAATTCCACATTATCTTTCAATTGGTAAAAATCTAGATTCCATGTAGATTTGACAGATGCAGTGGTATAATTAGTGTTGGGCTGTAATATACTGTTTCCTAAAAGGGGTTCAAATTTGCTTCTTTGTGGTATAAGAAAAATAGATTTGATGTTTTGCCCCACACATTTGAATTAGGTCCTGTGGGGGGAAAATTCTTGCTGAATAATTTGGCTAAGTAATTCTTGCTAAATAATTATCAAACACTGAGTTCCTATGAAGGTGAAAATCCAATCTGGGGGTGGGGGGGCGGCAGGGTGGTGTGATTACCGTGACTTGTAAGACAGTAGGGCTGTCTACCTGGAAATTCTAAATTCTTACATTTGGCTTATGTTGCATTACTTTGTTTTGTTGTCAGTTTGTTCATTGTTTACATTTTTTCACTGGAATAGTTTAGTAAATGTCATTTACTGTTAGATTGCTAAATAAAGGATAATTTGTCATTTATTTGAAAATTTAATCATTTTAGGTAAAGAAAGCTGGATATAGGATTTTCAGAGAAGGAGCAAAAGATTCAGAGGAAAATAAAGGATGGTTTAGCTGGCTGTGGACTTGGTCAGAACCAAGAAGTAAAGAACAACCAGATGTTAAGCCTGGAAGTAGGTCCATTTCATTTTATAGAGAGTGCAGTTAATCATTACGTTAATTTAGTGCAACTAATCATCAGTTGTGAAAGCAAAGTTTTGCAGAAAATTTTTTTTTTTCTTTTCTTTATTTATTTGATAGAGACAGCGAGAGAGGGAACACACAAGCAGGGGGAGTGTGAGAGGGAGAAGCAGGCTTCCCACTGAAGCAGGGAGCCAGATACAGGCCTTGATCCCAGGACCCTGGGATCGTGACCTGAGCCGAAGGCAGACACTTAACCATCTGAACCACCCAGGCGCCCCTGCAGAAAATTTTCTAACTAAAATAAACATTAAAAGCATATATATGTATCATATATAATTTATCCTTACTATCAATAAAATTACTATTAAAACATTGTACATGTATACATCAAATAAAAATTAAATTTTTTATCTTAATGTTTACAAAAGAGCTTTATGCTCAGGATTTAATAATGTGTAAATTCCCAAGGGTATGAACCATTGTAAATTTTTGTTGAAATTATTTCTTGGAAAGGTTTTTGTTTCCTTACCAAATGTTTAAGATCATAGCTTTGGAGACTTAGGGGCTTAAGTTTATATCCTGGATCTATCACTTACTGGCAGCGTAGCCCAGGCAAATTATTTAAATTCCCAAAACTTCAATTTTATCCTCTGTAAAATGGGAAATTATGATATTAGTGTTACTTACTTTGTATGCTAAGTATGTTGCTTAGCACAGTACACTAAGTGCCTAATAACAGTCATTTTGTGAGCCTGCTTAATCCAGATATTTAGAAATTTCTATTGCTAAATTCATATATTTAGCAGTTTATATTTTTGGAGGCTAATCCTTCTAAAATTGCCGGTGCCATCCTAACATTCAGTGATTATAATTTTTCTTTTTTTTGAGATAAAATTTTTTTATAATTTCTTAAAAGTATAAAAAGAGAGTTGAATTTGCCAGTTGGTTAAAAGCAGCTAAATTGTGAGTTAGTTTTATCTTACCAGTTAAGAATGCAAAAAACTTCTTTATGATTATAGTTCTTGAAGAAATGTTGACCTCTGAAGAAAAAACTTTACTCTATGAAGCAATTGGCTATAGTGAAACAGCAGTTGATCCAACCTTGCCAAAAACAGTAAGATGTTTTCTTGCCTTATACCTTAGAGTTTAACGGTAGATATGCCTATTTTTAATCCTCTCAGAAATGTTCCTGACTTACTCTGTGATCTTTGCCTAGTTGGTACATATTTATTTTAATTTCCAATATATGGATAACAAGTGCCCCTACTTTGTAGTGTTTATATGGTGATTCTTTAATATATGAAGGGTTATTTTTAAAGTATTTTTTGGTTATCGGAAAGAATAAACTATGAAGAAGAGTATTGTCTTTATATATCTATATATGCATATGTATATACATATATAAAAATATATAAATATATAAATATATATAAATTTATTTTCATTTTATTTCTCTCAATATATTCTAGTTTGAAGCCATGAAGTTCTTTGTTCACTTGAAAAGTATGTCTATTGTTCTAAGGGAAAAACGAGAGACACCTGAGCTGTTAGATATTGTAGTGGAAGAATTTAGCACTTTGATTGTGCAAAGACCAGGAGCACAAGCCATTAAGTAAGTATTTTTCTTTGACCAGTAAGTAGACATTTCACTGTGAAGTTGGAAGTTAGATTACAGTCTTCCCGTATTTTGTAAGGGTACTTTGGTTTAATGTATCATTATGTATTTTTAGGAACTTACGTTTTGGAATTATTAAAAATAATACAGGTTCAATAGAAAACTCTATGCTAAGGAAATGTAGAAGGACACTGAAAAATAAAACAGAAATGTCAGCAATCACACTATATAAAAAGAAACTGCACTGTCAATTTGGTTTTTATCTGGAAATATCTTTATTTTACTTTTGTTTTTAAAAGTAGTTTTATTGAGATATAATTAATATCCCATGCAATTCATCTATTTAAAGTGTACAACTCGTGTTTATCACACTTGTGGTATCATATACCAAATTCGCATTGGTATATTTACAGAGTTGTGCAACAATTACCATTATCTTAATTCTAGTACATTTTGACACCCTAAAAAAAGAAATCCTTTTTAGCAGTCACTCCCCATTCTCCCCTCTCCCCGGTGTATGGCAACAACTAATTTAATTTCTAAGAATTTGTCTGTTGGAGGCATTTCATATGAATGGAATCATACAATATATGGCCTTTTCTGTCCAGCTTCTTTCACTTAGCATGATATTTTCACGGTTCATTTACGGTATAGCTTGAATTAGTGTTTTAATTTTTTTCTATTGCACGATAATATTCCATTGTATGGATATACCACATTTTGTTTGCCCAGTCATCAGATGATGGATATTTGGTTTGTTTCTTCTTTTTGGCTGTTATGAATAATGTTGCTCTGGATATTTACAGACAATATTTTGTATGGGCAATAAGGCTTAAATTTTTCCGGGTACGTACTTAGGAGCAGAATTGTTTCCTCATATGGTAACTCTGTATTTAACTTTTTGAGGAATTGCCAGATTGTTTTCCAAAGCAGCTGCACCATTGTATATTCACACCAGCAGTGTTTGAGGTTTCTTATTAATCTGTATCATTGCCAACACTTTTGAATTAGAGCCATCCTGATGGGTGTGAGTTGATATTTCATTGTTGTCTTAATTTGCATTTCCCTGATAGCTAACAGTATTGAGCATCTTTTCTTGTGCTTATTGGTTGCTTCTGTATATTCTTTAGAGAAATGTATATTAACTTATTTTGCCCATTTTTAAATTGAGTTGTCTTTTCATTCAGTTTTAAGAGTTCTATATATATTATTGATGAGAATCCTTTATCTCATAAGAAATTTATAATTATTTTCTCTTATTCATTGTTTTTTGGTGGTATTCTTTGCCAGATGTTTTTGGTTTTCATGAAGTCCAGTTTATTTTTTGTTGTTGCAATGAAGACTCAAGAAGTCTTTGCCTAACTCAAGGACACAGAGATAAATTCCTGTGTATTCTTGTGAGAATTTTACACTTTCATTTCTTAAATTAGGTTTATGACCCATTTTGAGTTAACATTTATATATGGTGTGAGTTTGGGGTTCAACTTCGTTCTTTTGCATGAGGTTATTCATTTGTCCCAGCAACATTTGTTGCAAAACCTTATATCCCCATTGAATGATCTTGATACCCTCATCAAAAAGAGTTTACCATAAATGTGAGAATTTATTTCTGGACTTTTTTCTATTTCCATTGATCTCTACAACCTTCTGCCAGTAGTACACTGTGTTGATTACTATAGCTTTGTAGTAGAATTTGAAATTAGAAAGTTTATCCTCCAGTTTTGTTTTCTTTTTCAAGATGGTTTTAGCTCTTAGGATATTCTTGAATTTCTTTGTATCCATTTTTGCCAAAAATTTCAGCTTAGATTTGATAAGGATTTTGTTGAATCTGTAGATCAGTTTTTGGTACTGACATTTAAATGGTATTATCTTAAAGTGCATGAATATTGGATGCCTTTCCACTTATTTATCCTCATTAATTTCAACAATGTTTTATACTTTTCCGAGTACAAGTTTTATATCTTGTTTGAAAAGTATATTCTCATGTATTTTATTGTTTTTGATGCTGTATGGGAGGAAAGCGTTTTCCTCAACCCTTTTTGAGTGCCTGGCTGCATCTGAAAATTAAATCTGACAAAGATTAGCAAGGGTGAAGCATACAGATTTATTTAACAAAAGTTTAATAAAAGAACCTTCATAATGAAGATCGAAAGAACCAGTTAGACTAGACTATGTTAGGTTTGATGAAGAGTGGACAGTTGTGAAGGAATATGATAGGTCAAGGAGTGTAAGGTAAGTATGGTAGACTGGGAGAAAGTTAGCAAGCCCTGTTTTTTAGGACTCCTCTCAGTTTACCTTTGTTTTTAGAGATAAGGATGCTTTTTTCCTCTAGCTATAGGGAGGGCACCTATTATGTGAAGATTTTATGACCTGTTTGAGGGGGGGAAGGGTACGGGACTATCAGAGTGACCTTCTTGCTTCTGCTGTTTTCTCAAATTCCTTCAACTTAAAATACTTACTATGCCAAGGTGCCATATTTTGGGGGTAATGTGTCCTGAACCCCATCAGTGCTTACAAGTGGCATCATGTTCTTAATTTCATTTTTGGATTGTTGATTACAAGTGTGTAGAAATATAATTGATTTTTGTATATTGATCTATTACCCTGCAACCTTGATAAACTTGTTAATTAGTTCCAATAGTTTTTATTAAATTCCTTAGGATTTTCTGCATACATGAGCATTGCATCTGCAAATAGAGATAGTTTTACATCTGTATTTCCAATGTGGACACCTTTTCTTTCATTTCTTAATTGCCCTTGTTTGAACCTTCAGTACTATGTTGAATGGAAGTGGTCAGAAAGGACATCTTTTTCTAGTTCTTTATCTTAAGGAGAAGAGTTCAGTCTTTTGAATATGATGTTAAGTGTGGGTTTTTCATAGATGCCTTTTATCAGTTTTGAGAAATCCCCTTCTATTCCTAGTTTGTTGAGTTTTTGGCTTTTGTTTATGTTGGGTTTTTTTGTTTTGCATGAAAGTTTGTTAGATTTTGTTAAATGCATTTTCTGTGTTCCTTGAGAAGATTGTGTAGTTTATGTCCTTTTTTCTTTTGATTTATACCTTTTTTTAAGGTATTCACCTTAGTTGATTTTCATATGATAAAATCATGGTATATTCTTTTGGTGGTGTGTGTGATCTTTTTTATGTACAGCTGGATTTGGTTTGTTGGTGAGGATTTTTATGTCTGTTCATGAGAATACTGGTCTATAGTTTTTTTGTGATGGCTTTGTCTATTTTTTTAGGATAATACTGTCCTTATAAAATGAGTTGGGAAATGTTCCCTCCTCTTTGGAGTAGTTTGTAAAGAACTGGTATTCTTCATTAAACGTTTGGTGGTAGAATTCACCAGTAATGTCACTGGGGCCTGAGCTTTCCTTTGTGGGAAGTTTTTAAATTATTAACTTAATCTGTACGTGTCCTTAGGTCTCTTTACTTTTTTCATTTTTTTTTTCCAGTCAGTTTCAGTAGTTCCTTTTCAGGAATTTGCCCATTTCATTTAAGCTGTCTAATTTGTTGACACGTAGTTGTTTACAGTATTACCATGTAATCTTTTTTTTCTGTGAGGTTGGTAATAATGTCGTCTTTCACTCTAATTTTTTGAGTCTTTGCTCTTATTTCTTAGACTACTTAAATTTTGTTGATCTTTTAAAAAAAAACAGTTTTGGTCTTGTTTTTTTCTATATTTTTTTCCATTCTCTGTTTTATTAATTTGTCCTCTAACCTTTATATTTTTTTTTACTTTGCTTGCTTTAGGCTTAGGTTACTTTGCTTTTTTCAAGTATCTTTAACTGGTATGATTTGGGAATTTTTTTTTTGTGAATGTATGCATTTACTAATTCATTAATTTTATTTTAATGACTATTGAAGTAAAATTGACATCATAAAATTAATCATTCTAAAGAGTATAATTCAGTGGGATTTATATGTTCATAATGTTGAATAATCACCACCCCTATCTAGTCAAAATATCATTACCACAAAGTGAAACCCCATACTTATTAAGAATCACTCCCCTCCTCCTGGCTCTTGGAAGACACGAGTCTGCTTTCTGTTTTTGGATATGTCATATAATGGAATCATACATTACGTGATCTCTTGTGTCTGGTTTATTTCACTTAGCATAATGTTTTCAAGGCTCATCCATGTTGTTCTGTATATCAGAATTTCATTCCTTTTTTTTTTTTTTTAAAGATTTTATTTATTTATTAGAGAGTGAGAGAGAGCATGAGAGGGGAGAGGGTCAGAGGGAGAAGAAGACTCCCCACTGAGTGGGGAGCCCGATGTGGGACTCGATCCTGGGACTCCAGGATCACAACCTGAGCTGAAGGCAGTTGCTTAACCAACTGAGCCACCCAGGTGCCCTCCTTTTTAAGACTGCACAATATTCCATTGTATGTATTTATCACATTTTGCTTATTCTATTCATCTGTTCTATGGAAATTTGAGTTTTTTCCACCTTTTGGCTATTGTGATACCACAGTGAACATTCATGAGTGTGGATTTGAGTACACATTCTTTTGCTGTGCACCTAGGAATGGAATTGCTGAGTCATAGCATGATTCTGTTTTTAACTTTTTGAGGAAGCGCCAATGTGTTTTTCATAGGGTTGACAGTTTTACATTTCCATTAGCAGTGTACAAGGATTTCAGATTTTCCATATTCTTCCCAACACTTATTTTCTTGTATGTGCTTTTAAATTATAGTTATTCTTTTGGGTGTGAAATGTGGTTTCTCATTGTGTTTATTTGTATTTCCTTAATGTCTAATGATATTCAGCATCTTTTCATGTGGATGTTGACATCTTCACATACATCTTCACTGGGTCCATTTTTAAAATTGGGTTATTCTTTTTGTTGAGTTGTAAAAATACTTTATATATGCTAGACTCTAGATACATGATATTTACTTCCATTCTTTAGCTTGTCCTTGCATTTTCTTGATAATGTCCTTTGATGCACTTTTTAATTTTGATGAAGTATAATTTATCTGGTTTATTTTT